AAAATAGTGGTCGCCTCATTTCCGATTAAGCAAAATACGAGCGCTTTCATTCCGATTGTGCAAAATACGAGCGCTTCCATTCGATTGTGCAAAATACGAGCGCTTTCATACTTCGTGGTTGTGCGATCGTATGAGCGCGCGCTTCGTCTTCAGGGTAATCGTGCCGGGACCGCGCGTCGGATGCTCAAGTGCGATTTTGCCGTTTACCTTACGTCCATAGCATACAGCAAACCACTGTAAGAGCAAGACTTTCAAATTAAACATCTGTTAAAAACTACGAATGTGTATAACGACATCAGCTCTTATTTCCTGCAGCGATACAATCAGTAGAAGAGTTCCTCGCACGCGGAAGGACGACTAACCTGTACCTCGAACACCCTACTAGACTCCTGTTTCACAAATGTCCGTTTTCTATGAAGACATGGGGTAATTTCACACGACTACGACAGCTATTTCCACCTTCAAACCAATGGAATTGAATGTTGAGCGCTATGTGCCATCGGGAGCAGGGACATATCAACGCGTTGTGTAGAACGTTTTACGAAATACGACCGCTAAATCTCTCTTTACGTAAGGTTGCGTTCATTTGTTCACTTCTCTCGATCACGTCTCCGTAATCGATATTTTTGGCGACTACGAAAATGGGATACATATTGATCCGTCGCAATCGGTGCTGATCCGATACGTACCTAATTTTTTGGGCGTAATCTCCGAACTCGCTCATTACGACGGATCGATAGTGTAGTAGCTTCCCTTCAGCACAGACGCTAAAATCGTCCGTGTCGCAGGCTTTCAACATAACCGAGGATCCCTTTCTTCAGACCTCCCAAAACTTCGCCCTGCCAAATTGGAGAGGGAACTTTAGTGAAATACCAGAAATAGTGATTTTGTCCCTTCGCCGACTAGGATGATGGGTACATAGCGCGCGTCCGAGGAAAAGAAACATCAAGAGTCCGAAAAGAATCTTTCCCTTGAGGACTAATGTACAGAGCGTCGTCTTCTACAACCAACGACGACAATCTTTTTTTCCCCCCAGTTTCCGGGGGGGAAAAAAAGCGCTCTCACCAGGGCATAGCTACCTACATCGCGCCCCACTTCCCGCCAGCCTCTAATCAGAGACCGCTTCACAACGCCTTCTTGTGACGCAGTGACGATTACAGACTTGCGACAGGCATGTCACCCTCTATCCCTGCCGCTTTTAAAACAAAACCCATACGAACGGTGCTTTGTCACGTTCAGAATATTGTGTTCGAGCCTCTCGTAGTGCGACCCTACAAACAGCGCCTAGGCCTGCCCCTCCCGCCCAACGAAAAAAAAAACAAAATAGTAGGAATCATAGAGCTACAGCAAGCAATTCACGTATTGTAGGATAGTACCAAACTGAATAAACTAAATGTTAAGAAAGGATATACTGACCGTAACTGGAGCCATCTACAGCAAAACGAACCTGACCAATACCTTAAATGTAATGATTCGCTAATAAAATTACTTTTTACACAGTTTGCCACAATAGAACTGCAAACCTATCCGAGTATGATGATAACACTGCAAACAGAGAAATGGGGTTATTGTACTGGAATATAATTGGTCGGATTTAACCGCTTATCATGAATGAGCACTACATATTTCAACCGTTTATTCTGATTAAATAAAACAGCAGACCAGGTATGTTTTTCACATGAATTACAAGACATAAAGCTAACAAGAGAAAACTGCCACTTCATCAAAACAAAAATAATTGCAGACAAAAACAGTAACAATTAACAAAAACGAGCTCTTGATCAACTCCCGTAAACAATCACCGCACTGAGTACAGTAAAATGACAAATGTAGATGATAAGGCTTCATTACAAGTGAAACAGGTTGGTGATGAAAACAGTTAAAAAAACAGCTAAGATTGAATCACAGAATGTAGGACAACGGCAAGTAAATATTCCCACCTGCACAGTTCGGGAGTTACATTCTTAGCTGGATTCTAAGCCAACAAAACCTCCCATCTCTATGGGGCCGGTTAAATGGTACGGACTCATCCGAGAAGATAGAAATTGCACATCGGAGGACTCTCACCCTCAATGTATAGGCTAGATAAAGCGTAAAGTCTCCACCATTAATCAATCCTTTTTTTGGGATGCGGCAAGCATTCTACTTCCATTCAGTATAGTAGTCTAGTAGTGGCTTCATTGAATGCGATGTGGCCTATACAATGACTTGCGGTGGCCAGCTGTACAGGTCAGTATTTTCATCCTCGCATGCAAAACTGGTACTCGTTCACCGTCCCCGGCGGTAAAAGGCTTGGTTGGCCTAGGCGAGAGTTGACCCGAGATTTGATCCTTGGACCGCGCGAATGATGAACGCGCTACTTGTCACTACATTACCTCCGTCGGAGGCCAGATATGCACTCAAATATCAGTACAACTGTGGACAAAAGTCGAATGCGCAGCGCATCTCAAAACGAAACTCCGCAATATTTACACCTTTACTACTGGACGATAGGAAAAATTGAGCTGGATAATAACTTCGTTCTCTGAAAATGCTACTGCTTAAAGCGGACAGTTGTCAGTTTATCTCCGATGGTACATCGTCTACTCTCAAAAAAGCTAGATTCAAGAAGCCACTCATTACCTTGGTAGTGTTGCATAAAGTGTCATAGGCAAGAATCTGAATTCAGGCAAGGCTTGAATCTGGTCAAATCCGTTGAGTTAAAAAAGCCGCATCACCCCCTCCTCCTCATTTTGGACATAATTATCTAATGAGCAGAATGCGAGATGATGAGATCTGTGGTTAAAACACCCCGCAGCTATGATATTGAAACTTGTAAGTTGGACGGAGTGTGCCGCAAAGAGGGGGATCATGTTAGAACTTCAGCTGCCCAGAGACTGACAGATTTCTATCGCTAGAAAGCAGTCGACTGATACCGGAAATTGCTTTTCCTACTGAAGTAGTTTCACGACTGCGACGATAACTGCTGTTTTACGCCCAGTTCGCGTTCCGAAGGTTAGATGCTGAATTATTATGGGCAAAAGTCGAACCCTAGGCGGGAATCGAAACACGCGCGCCTCATGCTATTCACGTTAGGTTGCAGAGCCGCTTTTACCCTCTCAGCTCAACGGCTTTTATGCCGTAGCCTTACAGCACTCACGCCGTCACCAGTAATCGTTAGATGTCGGCAATGAACGGCGTAACGGATAGCGCACTTGCCCGGAAAGCGTGAGGCGCGGGTTCGACTCCCGCCTGGGGTTCGACTTTTGCCCATAAATAGCATTCTTGTGTAGCCTTCTCTACTATCAAAAATTACTCAAAAAATCAGCCGGGTAAGGACTATTTGTTTATCGTGTAACTGCATGACTGAGTAATCGTAACTTTGTCCACTGTCGAAGGTCAGCAGTAGTAAATGATAAGGGGATTGGACATGGGACACCAGCAGTGAGCGCCAAAAGCGATAGCAAACGATAAGAGGCGGGCAAAAACATAAACGCGTAAACACATTTAGACATTATATACATCTAATGAGTAGTGGGATGAAAATACAGTACGCTCACAGTACGCTATTCCTCTTTGCTGGCTTCTTCTCATGGCAACTCACTAGACCTGAAAGACAGAATTTTTGGGAAAAAAACAAGGTCAGAGTCTTAACTGACAACCATTAAGCCATGGTCCTTCTCTAGCGCAAACATTATTAAGCGTTTTTCGATACTGCTGTGCCCCTCAAGATTTTTTTTTTTTGTGAAAAGCTTCACACAAGAAATGAAGTTCTCTACATGGTTGTCTTCTTCGGAGGCCAGAATTCAATCGTGAAACAACTGTAACACTCGATGCAGGTCATTTACTGCCGAACAGAGACTATGTCTTTTCTGTGAGACAATCCTTCGGTGACGACTCTCTCCGTCTACGCTCTTAGCCTAAGCCTTGGTTAGGGAAAGGACGTAGAGGGAATCTCTGACAATTATCAGAAGAATACTGAGTTATGGGCAGAAGTCAGACCCAGGCGAGACTCGAACCGGCATCTACCGCTGATCGGGCGAAGGCAAGCTAAAAGCCATTGAGCTGAAAGGGTAAGAACGGCCTCCTTCCAGGGGCGGCGTTTGAGGGGCGACGTATAGGATAGCACACCCGCTCTCTCAGCGGGAGATGCGGGTTCGAGACTCCTTGGGGTCCGACTTTTGCCATAACTCAGTATTGCTGTGATTGTCGAGCCCTCCTAAAACTACGTGAGCGCAGAAATAATTTGGTGGGGTTACTGGGATATTGTTAGGAACCACCAGAGATGGACTAATAAACCACGAAAATCCCAGAGTGAAAGACCGTATTATTAGTAGGAGTGAAAGAACTGCAGACCGGAGTTAAGATGTTCAAGCAAGGAATCCCGCAAGTAAAATAATTGAACTTACATCTAACACGCCTTCGGTCATTCCCTCATTCACACCTTTTCCGGTACTCCCCCTTGATCACTTCTTCATTTGGACCCATTTTGCACATCTTGCTTCCACTTGAGCTTCACTTGAGGAAACCAAAAAAAACACTTGCCGAATTCGAGTAAGCATTTCGTCGATCATGGAAATGGTCTGATCACGGTAATCCTCGGTCCAGTTTTGACGATGTTCTTTCACAATTTCGTGTCGAATATTGTCCGGCGTGGAGAAGAATGCGTCTGTAGCGAAATCTCGTTGAGAACAGGCAATCACACCAAGCTCAGTGGGTTCAATAGATACTGCGATCGTACCATGCGTAAGAGGCGGAGGTTGGGGGTTGAAACCGCCTGGAGCCAACGATGGGCGTCGGTGAAAACGAAAGATATGCTCCGCAATATAGTGATTATTACAGCTCATTGTATAACGATCTGATGGATTTACTTGTTCGAGTGCGATCGAGACGCAACGATCGCACAGATTGCAGAAACGTTGCGAAAGCTGCATATGATCTCTGCAATAGCAATCATAGTACACACATAGATCACTCAAAAGAGCTTTAAACCAAAATAGATGGGCATGTAGAATGCAAAAGCTAGCAAATCTCTAAAATGGCCAATTGCGACTTTCTCAGATGAGACTGCGATTTCTGTGGACTACAAAGCCATAATATAAGATCAAGGTCTTTTCGACGCCCGAAGTGTTCACTGTTACCACCAGCAACTTTGAAGTAATCGTCTTCAACCGCATAATGGAAGGTAGAGTGCTTGAAGGGCTGCAAGATAGAACCAACAGAAGGGTAAAATTTATTTGGGGGCCGACCTTATTATTAGCCCAAGTAGAAATGGGGTAGAGAATAAGAAAAGAGAGGGTGAAATGAGCACTCTCAAGACGCACTCCAGTCTCAATTATTACATGAACAGCAAAAGGGACAGCAACAGAAAGGTATCCCGCTAGAACAAGAGCCGATACTCTACGATCAGTTCAACTGATCAAGTATTACGGGTTGTGGGTGTTCAATTATGAACCAGTAGTCGATAAGTGAATCCCCCTCTGAAGGAAAATGTGAAAAGAAACTTCCAGTGCAGCCTAAATAAACCCTCCCTGACAGACACACTGCCACATTGTACGAGTTCTCTGGAGTTGGCAATTCGACACCTTCTGTGCAAACCCTGCCCCACAAAACGTTTCTTCGCATCTTCCAGTACAAAATGTCATCTTATACTAGAGACAAACGAATAAAAAGAACACGGAACAGAAAATAATTTTTGAAAACTGCATGAAATACGGGCTACGGTAAGTTATGAAGGACGAGCTTTTGCACTAACGCCATCACATCACTGCTGAATTCAAGTAGCTCCAAAACGCAAGTTGCCGCACGAAGTGGACTGCTATTGCTTGCTCATTGTCAGAAAAGGTATTCATGAAGTGCAGAACGACTCATGAACTCACAAAAGCGTCGATTAGCCAGGTGTCTCTGACGAGCACAAGAAGTCGCCCAATGACGCCGCAGGCAACACTCGCGGTAACTAGCGATATATGTCGTTGTTTCACACTTATAAACCGTAAGTAATAATAAGTAGCGCGTTCCTAACTACTTTATTTCGCATGTTCGTGTGACGAAAGCGGTACACTCTCTGCGAGTGCGGACCTGGCTACCAAATGCACGGAGGTATTTCACGGATCACTTGTTCGCGGGAATTATCTTCAAGGAGCACAAAGCCTAACAATTAAGAGGAATCGTAGGAGTGGAATTTTTCGTCTATGCATATACACAGCGCTTCCCACGGCCGATAATAGGCAGAAGTAATTCGACCATATCATTACAAATCAAATATGAAAGAAAAGTCAGACTTTATAGTTGAGACTTACACAAATTGGTCGTTTGATACAACGACGCCGTCGGTCGTATAGGCCATTTCAAGGGCAACAATATCATCATGAGCGTGTCCTTCAGCCAAGTAAATAAGACCCATACTTTCAAGCTGCTTAAATGGGCTTATTATCAAGGCTCTGAAGTGATACTGAAAATAAGGCATGTCGTTGTGGATTTCCAGCAAGTAGGGGGTGTACGTTGTCAAAGGTGGCCGTATTTGATTTATAAAACATGTTTTCCGGTGTTGACTTTTTTGCCCGTTTCAAGTGCACTATATACTCCCCCGACCCTAGTTTCTCAAGGAAAAAAGTTCAAAAATTTTGAAAACAAAAACCGGAAAGTGGTAGGAATGTGGGAAAATCAGGAAGATGGGAGGTAGGATGGTGAAGGGGGAGGGGTCGTACCAAAGGTGGAAATTCTGAAGGTGGGCATATTTCGTGAAAAATTTCCCCCTACATGGGAGGACATGCCTTGACTGAAAAGGATTCCATCGAGAAGTATCAACAAGTACTTACATCCACTGCAAATTTATGAGATACAGTAGCGTCTCTTGTGTATTTTCGCTGTGAAACCGCTATCACATCAAAATCATTCTTGAAGAAGAATCTCATCACAGCAAGCAAGCCTCCCGCACTTACTTTACTTTGGCTGAAACACATACAATAGACAAATCACAAGGTGAAGAAGACGTCTATTTTCATAACTCGAATATAGTGCTAAATAGTAACAATATAATAGAATCTGTATTTACAGACCGGAATAAAAATAAGTGAAATAGTAAAAAATGGATTCAAAATTACAACCTCTCGGAAAGCATCATACTCTGAAAATGTACAATAACCTCACTAGGAAAGATTAGAAAAGGGCGATACCCGCAAAAATGTTGGCGCTTTCGCACGATCGTGTCCGCACAGACAAGTTGTATTTTTGATTATTTGCTTCATGTTTACAAACATACATTTTCACTCCAAAAAAAAACAAATCAAGAAAGAACAAAGAAAGAAAGAATGAATGAATGAAGGAAAATAACAACGAAGAAGGGGAAAAATAGTTTCGAAATATATTCGAAAACGGTAGAGGGTCAGTCAGTCAATTCCTATCCAGTCCCTGGTGGTCAACATTCGCGGATTCTCCACAATCACTGAACGTAAACGCGCCTTACTTGCTTTTCTTTTGGGCGACACGTTCATTGTGACTTTCGACTAACTCTATGGGAACGTTGTTTTCCTGTTAAAAATAGGACAGGATGCATTTCAAACTTCCTCACCGGGAACACAGCATAGTTTGTTGGAGTTGATCGGAATACTGAGAAGAGATGATAGAGTATCAAGCAGTTTGCAAACTTTGAGCCGTGTTCAGACCTTTAACCCTTTAAACGGGAAAAATACGAGGTATAAATATCGATTAGCTTCTAGGAACCGCTAGCGTTTCGAGTCAAATTGGGAAAGTGTAGGTGGCGAAATCAGCATTTATTTTTCACGATAATAATATCGAACCTACACTTCCAAATCTGCTCAGATACGGCTGACGAAATGGTATGAACGACCTCGTAGGTATTTTACTAACAAAAAGCGCTAAGCCCCAGAAAACATAATGAGTAAAGAGCTGCCCAACAGTTGGATTTTTCCTCGGATAAACTGTCGACAAGACGCTTTAGCCGAACCCAGCTATGATGTGTCTGCTATAGCTATGACGGTGAATGCTTACGCCACAATTTAATGGACTTTGAAGAAAACGAAGCGTAGAAAGAGTAGCCGTTCAGCCTTTGATGTCAAGTTCGTGTTGAGATTTCACCAAAAAATTTATTAGAGTGCGTCCATACTTTGCGTCAGCACACCAGCGTTTTGAGTGACTAGGAAAGAGTAGGCATGCGTTGCCGTACCCTCAAGACTCTAGATCAATACCTATACTTTTCCATTCGCTCAAAACGTTGCCGCACGCTAGATCAATACCAATATGTGCCAGCCGCTCAAAAGTATGAACGCACTCTTAATATTACAGTGCCGTGATTCACTGTTCATTTTTTCCACCAATGACATTGCATCACGTACCCCCTAGTTCGCACACGTACACCCTAGTTCGCTGCGGACGGTTGGGCGTGTCAGGCAGTATGAGTGTGTCACCCCGTCAAAGCCGTTCTCTGCCTTCTTGTTGAAGCGCGCATGCGACAAAAAGTGGTAGAAAACGAGTAATACGAACGATATGATACAGTCATATCATTTGCTCGCTTTAACAACTGGTGGAGAACGGGTTTGGCACCGCGCCAAACTCATCCCGCCTGACACGCCCAACCGTCCGCCGAACTACACTATATCTTCATTGATTCTTCTCCAGTAGGCAGTGGAATTTGAAAACTCACTCACTCTCCTTTGTCTTGGTCATGTGCATGAGATTCGGTGCGTCCAGAATCACAAGGCGACGAACTTCGTCTGACGTTTGTGGAATCAAGAAATCATCGCGTAATACCAAAGTTGATGTAGAGTGCATGTGTCTTTCTGTAAAATGAGCGTTTCTTCAAACTTCCATTTGTCACCTGAATGTAGGCATACTCTAGCCAACGGGGCAGGGTTTTCCGTCTGGGATAATGTATGCAGAAAAAAAACTCTTCGAAATTTTCTCGGTACGACCCTTTCCGCATCCTACCTACCATCTTCCCATCTTCTCATGTTCCTCAACTTCCTATCTTCTTGCTGTGGTTTCCAAACCCAAACATTCTCCAGTTTCCCCATAAAACGGCCGCTGTGGGAGGAGGGGGAGTGCGCACATAAGCTTCAATCGTCAATATTCCGCCTCTTTTGTCTAAGCTTCAAGATAAGTCAAAACCCAAAGACCAGATTATCCCTCAGTAGTCGCCATTAGCTTCAGATTACTTATTACCTAAAAGAAGACATTCTGTATAGACAAAGAGAACTAAAAACCTTGAAAGACAAGTGAAGGAGATACATTTCTAATTCAGGTGAGATTTTGCCCGTTTACGGAACTGGGTACAGCCAAGAGCTCGAAATACATTGTCATGGGTCAACAATAACTACGTACTAGAGTTAGGAAAGAAAGCAAGTAAAGGTAATTGGGTTTAAACATCACTGATGAACGCCTCAAAGGTAAACTAGAAGGTAAGGAAATCGCATTTTCAAAAAGCTCCTGAAGCTGACGATAGCTGGAACCTCAAGGGACAATAGGAAGAAACATAAAATGAACATGACCCCAAACATGGTACCCGTTAACGAAGCGGTTGCAGCAGTGCAACTCACTTAGCAGTAAACAACAACATTAAGTATAAATACCCCTAGTAGCTGTGCAATTGCGTACACTTGAAGGCTACTGTAACTTCACGCAATAACAAAAAAAGGTGTCTGATTTAATCAACGTCAACCTCAGTATCCAATCCGCTTCCATCTCACTTGGAAGAAGAGGCACAGGAACAATACTCATTTCAAAGAATTAAGTGGTGAAATTCTTCGTTCATTGTTAGTCCGGATGACCAGGTTTGCCTTATCAAGAGCAGACTGCGCACTTACGGGTTAGTAAGGAGATTTTCATCATAACAAGCACATCCCGCGTTTTTTGTGGTGAGAGTTCCTTCAGAAATTTGAAAAGAGGTTTCCGCAAGTAGTTTACTGATCAAGTTGAAAAAAGCGTGGTCAGAACGCCGGGGACATGTGACCTAAAGGCAGACCCTGCACTCACTTCAGTAAGTCCTGGTCTTGCCTTATTGGGGGTGTCTGGGTCCGTTGCCGCAGTAAGCCGCATTTTTTTTTTTTCTTTTTTTTGTTTTTTTTGTTTTCTTTCTTCGCGTTCACAAGGTGCACAGGAAGGAGGTTGGAGGTAGCACACGGTGCCTTCACATACTCGTCCGCTAGCTGGGACTAGCAAGAGCGCTAGTTGTCTGCGTATCTACTGTTCTCTATCGTGAGCTGCGTGTTTGGCGAAGCCGTGGTATCGGCGAGTACATTGAGATACTGCAGGCGGAAAGTATAGAGTTACGCACTGTGTAATTACCCTCCCCCCCCAGCTGGTCTCATATTGTTTCGAGCGGAGAAAGTGGCATGCTACAGCAGCTGAGAATCCGTCAACCTCGGACATGAAAAGGACCTTCTTCAAAGTGTAGAGTTTGTCCTTTTTCTAGCTGCACCTTACTCAGCCTGGCACCTCCCATAATCCTGTCAAATATAATCCGCTACATACACATGTGTGTGTATCTGTCTGTGTGTACTTATCGCGAACTTCTCGCGCACGTCACAGCAACAATAAACAAGTCCATGCTGACAATGGACTGAAGTTAGATGACCGATGGGTGAAAGGAACTGATAACTGATAAGGATTGATAAGGCGCCTGGGAAGGGAAAGTTCACCAAGCAGGGTGACAGAAAGTGAATATCTACTCGAAGGGAGCACTCTTAACCGAACTCGCCAGATTCACAGTGTGCGTCGTGTGAATAGTGACTGATCATGGCGCCAACAGGTGATAAAGTAGGCGAGACCAAGACATTGATAGTGGGTAGCAGCAGTGATACGAACTGGTATTGGGCTTCAATACCAGCTCGTATCACTATCAGAAAGCAATCGTCATTAGAAGCGCCCCTTCGTTCTCCAAGGTGGTACGGTCTTGTTCGCTGCGAATGCCACGCGGAGCAGGGTATGGCGCGGCGCCAACCCTTAGTCCCCGGTTGTGGAAGCTAGCAAGTGACCGGTATGAAACGGACTGATGCATACCCCAACATTGCTGTTAATGGGTGGAATTGTAATTACATACTCTAGTTCGCTGCGGACGGTTGGGCGTGTCAGGCAGTATGAGTGTGTCACGCCGTCAAAGCCGTTCTCTGCCTTCTTGTTGAAGCGCGCATGCGACAAAAAGTAGAAAACGAGTAATACGAACGATATGATACAGTCATATCACTTGCTCGCTTTAACAACTGGTGGAGAACGGGTTTGGCACCGCGCCAAACTCATCCCGCCTGACACGCCCAACCGTCCGCAGCGAACTACACTCAAAATCCCAGAGATGCGATAGACCTGGCTACAGTCCTCATCATTGCGGACCGGTGGGGCGTGTCAGCCAGTAGTGTGCACACTGTTGAAGCCGTTCTCAGCCTTTTTGTTGAAACGCGTATGCGACAAAAAGTGGTAGAAAACGAGTAATACGGAGGATATAATACAGTCATATCATTTGCTCGCTTTAAATACTGGTGGAGAGCGGGTTTGGCACCGCGCCAAACGCAGCCGCACTGAACCGCCCCGACAGTACGTAATGATGAGGACTGTACGTACCTGAACTGAACGTGGCGGCGGCCATGATTTTGTGAGAGGGTTTTATTTTGGGACCACAAGAATGCTGAGTTATGGGCAAAAGTCGGACCACGGACGGGATTCGAACCCGCATCTTCTGCTTTTGCCTACT